ATGCATTCATCAGAAGCATTCATTCTAACTATAACATAAAAAGCATTTATTAACCTAACTACTATTCAATTTGTGCAATTAAGAAAAAAACAAATTTTTTTTTTTTTTGTAAACTAACCTCACCGATAGTCGGAAGTAGTATGTTCCTTCTCGAAAACACAGGAGGAGGAGCTTAAAGACTGTGATCTTGCTATCTACAAACTCTTCTCAAAAACACAGGAGGAGGAGCTTCAGTCCCTGCCATAATTAACAACACAATCAACTAGAAATTTCTATTTCAATAAAGCTTTACAAACCTATAATCTTTCTATCTCATGTAAAAAATTTGACAAGTGATGTTACAACGAAAGCTCTTAGCCATCAACACAAACTGTAATGAATCTTACTCGACTCGATCGTAGTAAAAGCTCTTAGCCATCAACACAGAACACTAGTCACAAGATTAATTAACCTTGTCAAGTGTATCCTCATGACCTTTTATCTAACCAATCAGAAAAAACCCACTAGGCATGTAACTTTTTAACAAAACAATCAGACAAAACCCACCAAAAAGCCTACAAATTTCTATCAAAACCCAAAGCTTTTCAATCACCCACAAAACTAAAAACCGTAATCGCCTATAGTCCAGGAAACCTAATCGATTTATGCGCTCAAAGTATACAAATAAGATCCAGTGGAGCTTAATTTCCCTAAAGCAGAGATGCATGGAATATGAATCGACGATGGGCCTTACCTTCATAAACTTCTTCACCACCGCCGCATTCACCAGAAACCTGAGATAATATCCAGTTGGGAGGAGACACCGTCAGGACCGAGAGAACCGTCGTCGATGGTGGGTTTCGATCGGCCTTCTCACGGATAAGACGAGACAAGCCGCCGGAGACGCCGTGAGGACCGAGACTGTGGTCGTTGGTGATGGTTTCGATCAGTCTTGTAACTAAATGATTTTGACGAATTAATCACAAAACTTAAAAAAATGGACCATTTAATTGTTAAATATACAATCTTTCTCAAGTACACATTTCAGATATAACCATTGTTAACTTATTTAGAAACATAAAAATTATCTCAGACATTATAAAATAAAAATTTCTTATACCCGCATAATAACTTGATCATCAAAGCAAAAAACTTATCGATCCATTTGTAGATAAAACAACAAAATAGTATCTGTGTTTTTGAAGCGCGGATCAAAAATCTAGTTAACCTTTTAAAACCCCCACTATGAGTCACTGATATTCATGGTCTTAGTACATTAATCTCTGGGTCTTAACAAAATAATTTGGCTTGGTGACCCAAATTTGATCAATTTAGTGGCCTAATATTTTCTAAAAAGAAAAACTGATGTAGCTACTTCGGAGAGCGACAAAAATTTCTTCATATATATATATACTAGGTGATTTTCCCGTGCTCATGCACGGATATGAATATTCATAAAAGTAAAATTTAATAATAATTGATTGATATTTAGTTTTAGTTTTGAATCAATTAATATGTATAATTTATATTAGTAAGTGTTATATTATTCTAATTATACATATAACTTTGGATATATTATTGTCGGTGTAATTATTTTCGGATCAATAGTTGGTTTGGTTATCAATTTGGTATATTGGATAATATCTATTTTTCGAATTTAGCTATAATATTTTTTATTTTAAATATAATAAAACTTTGATTAATTTCTTTATTTTCATTTCGGTTGGTTATTATCTTTAGATATGTACCTATATTCTTAGATATGTAAATATATGATAGTTAAATTGTGTATAACTTAATATATATTGTGCTTAAATTAAATAAATAATTGATGGGTATTTAGTTTTAGTTTTTAATCAATTTATATGTATAACTTATATTAATAAATATTATATTATTCTAATTATACATATGACTTTTGATATATTATTGCCGGTTTAATTATTTTTTTTATCAATAGTCGGTTTGGTTATCAATGTGGTATATTAGATAATATTTATTTTTCGAATTCAGCTATAATATATTTTATTCTAAATATAATAAAACTTTGATTAATTTTCTTATTTTCATTTCGGATGGTTATTGGCTTTATATATGTAAATATATTCTTAGATATGTAAATATATTATAGTTAAATTATGTATAACTTAATATATATATATATATTGTGCTTAAAATGAAATAAATAATAAGCGGAAGTGTTTAATTCAAAATTACATAAATGAATATAATGATAATATTTTGAAGTCGCATGCATATATATAAATTCTAAAAAGAATTAAACTGTAATTGGTTAATATTTTCTTTTTCTTTTTAATATGCTTTGGGTCAACCTCTAATTTATATGTATAAACTAAACAGATTATTAATATTATTTTTATTATTATTATAAAATTATATGTTCTTATTGTAGTTAGTTGATTAATTTTGAATATAAATTAGATTAGTCGAGTCATTCATTTTGTGAGTATATTGAATATAATATATTTTTAAATTAAAATTGAAGAATAATTAATTTTTATTTTTGTTAAATCAAATCAAATTAGTTCTATTTATCGCTTAAATATACATGTATTTTCATAATATTTATTTACTATTTATTTTAGTTAAGTCAAATAAAATTAGTTTTATTTATCACTTAAATATACGTGTATTTTCATAATATTTATCAAATTATATGTTGATTTCTAAAAAATATTAGAAAATAAAGTGCAACTGATAAGTTATTGGATGTTCATCAACATATATATTTTTATTATTGTGAAAATATACTTTTTATGTTATTTTTAAATATATATTAATGAGGTATTACTATTTTGTGAACTTTCCGTTTTAATAAAGTCATATTATATATATATATATATTCGTTTTTAAAATTTGTTTTAAAATTTTAGAATTATTTCCTTTTTATTGTATATTTTATTTGGAAAATGTTAAAAAAAAGTAATAATCTTAAAATCTAACAAATCATTAAGGGCATCTATGTAATCAACCATCACGAGAGTTAACGTGAGCGCGACACGTATGAAACTGACTTCTCAAATAATATTATAGACTAGGTGATTTTCCCGTGCTCATGCACGGACATGTATATTTATAAAATAAATATACAATAATAATTGATTGATATTTACTTTATTTTTAAATTAATTTATAGTTTATATGTCTAATTTATATTATAATATTATATTACTTTAACTATATAAATAATTTTAGATATGTTATATTTAGTATGTTTTATTTGTTTTACGGTCGATTTAGTTATCATTTAGATATATTGGATTCTATCTATTTCTCTGAATTCAACTATAATCTTTTATATTTTAAATATATTAAATTCTTGATTAATTGTCTTATTTGCATTTATGCTGGTTGTTATTTTAGAAATATAATTATATTTAGTAAGATTATATATAACTTAAGATTTGTTTTTGTGCTTAGAAGGAAAAATAAATAAAAACTAAAGTGTCTGATTCTAAATTACATACATAAGTAACTAATGAATTTTTCGAAGCTTTTGAACTCATATCAATATTTACAATAATTAAAATATTTTATAAATTCTAAATAAATTTATGCTTTAGATAGATTGGATGGTAAACAGAAATTTATTTTAAATAATTTTAAAAATAAGGATTCTGATTTGCTTAAGTATTTTGACTATGGTTATATTAAGTTTCACAAACATAAAAACAGAAAATTAATAATCAAAAGATTTATTAAGAAAACATATAATTTTAACTATTAAAATATAATATATCTACCTCGTTAAATTACATAGTGTTATGGTATTTTAAAATAANTTTAAAAATAAGGATTCTGATTTGCTTAAGTATTTTGACTATGGTTATATTAAGTTTCACAAACATAAAAACAGAAAATTAATAATCAAAAGATTTATTAAGAAAACATATAATTTTAACTATTAAAATATAATATATCTACCTCGTTAAATTACATAGTGTTATGGTATTTTAAAATAATTGTAGTTATTTTCTGTTTCTATGTTTGTGAAACTTAATATAACCATAATCAATATATTTAAGTAAATCAGAATCCTTATTCTTAAAACATATAATTTTAACTATTAAAATATAATATATATACCTCGTTAAATTATATAGTGTTATGATATTTTAAAATAATTGTAGTTACTTGATCAAAAGATGTTTATTATTATTTTTTTTTAGTTTTATTTTTAGCATCTCTTAAAATGTAAGTAAAATAAAATTTATTTTTTTTTACTGTAATTGTAAGATATTATAGTCAAACAAATTTACTAAAAAAATAATTTCAATAATACTAATTATAAAAAAATACCAATTAAACATATATCAGTTTATTTTACTTGATTATTTGATGTAATCATCTAATAAAATAGATAGATATATACAAAAATAATTATTTTGAAAATAAATAAATTTTATTGTTTAAAATTATATTTTTAAAGAAAAAATATTTCTTTTTCTAATAGTAATATTTTTTTGTGTGAATTTTTTTTATGAAATCACACTATATACATATATTGTTTTTTTTATCTAAGAAGATATAGATATAAAGTATTTTATTACTTCAAAGGTATATTTTATGTTATTTAAAATATATTTAAATTAAATATTACTATTTTGTTAACTTTCCTTTTTTCATTAAACCATATTATATATACTTATATTTTCGTTTTTAAATAGTTTTGTAAATTTTATAAATGTTTCCTTTTTATTTTAAATTGTTATTTGGAAATTTTTAAAAAGTAAATAATATTTAATTATATTTTAATTCATTAGAGGTATCATAGTAATCAACCAACGTGAGAGTTAACGTGAGCGCGACACCTAAGAAAGTGACTTCTCAAATAATATTATAGAGATATATATATATATATGATTTTGCTAAATCGTTCGTGGATTAAAATGTTGATTAAACTTTCTAGTTTGCATACTGTAGAATAGAATGAGTAAAATATGTCATTCATATTCTTTACCGCAATAGTGACGTTTGCAGAGGTTTGGGATAACCAAGCATGCCTTTAAACTTCGGATGGAACGAAAGTTGGGCTCCTACATAACGGCGGTTACTCTTGTCGTTGACATTTAACTCGGACACGTTAGTGGCGCCTGACTGATTGATCGCTAATAAACCCAGCCGTTAGAAAACGTCGTCAACGCGTCGTCCTCCTCTTCCTCAAATCACCTTGACTCGTTCGCTCACCGAGTTGGTGCTCGCATCGCGTAACTCGCGCCGATGAAGTGCCGATCCGTAGCGTGCTTATGGTCTCGAGCGCCTCCATCTCATCGAGTCACGGCCACAGCCGCGTTGACCAATCCCCCGACTCTGTACACCGGCGGATCCGATGGATCCATCATCTGGTGGAACATCTCTTCATCCGAGTCCAATTCGGTAACTCATGCTTGCTCAATCGTTTGATTTAGCTGATTCGTCAATCATCTCAGCACATTGTTATGCAATTTTTACTTCTTTCTGAAATCACTGCTCATTATCCAGATTCAAGCATTCATAATGATCATGGTATTATTGTTTGCTTTTATTATCTCATCAGCTATTTTGTTATCAATCAGGAGGTTAAGCCGATTGCTATGCTGTGTGGTCATGCTGCACCAATAGCAGATCTTGCCGTTTGTGATCCGACAACTGTTTCAGGAAATGGAGTTACACCAGACTGTGTTGAGGGGGATCCATTTGTTAACTGTAGTGCATTGATCAGTGCCGGTACTGATGGTGTGCTCTGTGTATGGAGCAGAAATAGTGGTCACTGTAGACGACGAAGAAAGCTATCTCCTTGGGTTGGAAGCCCGTCGATTTTGTCTACTTTGCCTTCAGAACCTAGATATGTCTGTGTTGGGTGTTCTTATATCGAGAGCCATTGCTTAGATACTGTTGATGGTGCTGAATCTTTGTCAGATACTGATGTTCAGAACAGAAAACCGTCGAGGTGTACTGTGGTTGTTGTGGATACTTATACTCTTACGATTGTTCATACTGTTTTCCATGGAAATCTATCTATTGGGTATTTGAAGTTCATGGGTGTGGTTCAGTTGGAGGATCAGGAGTCTTTGCTCATGGCAGATTCGTATGGTCGGCTGCAAGTGGTTCCAGTGTCAGAGAACGCTGAGAAGGGTGAAGATGTGTCTGAAACGAGCCAAAGCTCCATTGTTTCCAGAAACTGGTTGAATGAAGGGGAAATAGCTGTATCAGTAATAACACGAGGGAATCTTGTTGCTCTTTTTACCAAGTGTAGAGGTGTCTTTTGGTTGTTAAATCGCGGGGAGGCAATAGGAGAGATATCTTTTGTTGACAACTCCCTTTGTTCGGATTTCCATTTTACAGAAGCAATACTACTCTACTCTAGTATATCAGCAACTGAAGGCGATAAAGATGTTACACTTTCTGAAACTTTTGTGCTGTTGGATGACAGTGGTTCTGCTGTTTTGTTTGATATGTCCTATATTGGTGGAGAATTTACATATAAGAAACGTGCTGAGATTGTTACTGCCTCTGATCAGCATTCAGAGAAATCATCGTTTTGTTTTGTGCAGTTGAGGCAGAATCTTATTCGCGTCGAGACTAGCTGTTGTGGTACTGAACAACCTTTTCAGTGGAGGCCTTATATAACTGTGTGGGCACTACGCCTAGGAAATGGTGATGGAAAAGAACTCCAGCCACAGTGCAAAATGCTTGGAGAAGGATCGTATATTGCTAACTGGAACTCCAGCCACAGTGTAGATCTTAAAGGCACTGCCGAAAATGATTTAGGAAGCTCTGTTAGTGACAGTGGACAGTGCGTGTCATCGTCCATGGTTATTTCTGAGAATATGTATGTCCCGTATGCTGTTGTCCATGGTTTCTTTAGCGGTGAAATAGAAATTGCAAAGTTTGATTTTCTCCAAGGACTTGATTCACCTGCTTTAAGCCCGAGATCAGACACTGATCCACTGGTATCTAAACAGCATCTCTTGGGACATACAGGACCTGTTCTGTGCTTAGCAGCTCATCACATGCTTGGGGCTGCAAACGGACGTAGTCCTTCTCATGTTCTGATATCCGGAAGTATGGACTGCACCATCCGCATATGGGATCTCGAAAGCGGCAATGTAGTCATGATCATGCACCACCATGTTGCTCCAGTACGCCAAATCATTCTTGCACCCGCCCGAACAGAAACCCCATGGAGCGATTGCTTTCTTTCTGTTGGGGATGATTCCTGTGTTGCTCTTTCTTCGCTTGAGACTTTGCGGGTTGAAAGGATGTTTCCCGGGCACCCAAACTATCCTGAAAAAGTTGTTTGGGATGGTGCAAGAGGCTACATTGCATGTCTGTTCCGCTCCCTTTCTAGGAAATCAGATCCTATTGATGTTTTATACATTTGGGATGTAAAGACAGGTGCTCGAGAACGTGTCCTTCGTGGGGCAGCTTCACATTCTATGTTTGATCATTTTTGTGCAGGCATTAGTGAGAAATCTTACTCCGGATCTATCTTAAATGGAAATACATCAGTTTCCTCTTTACTTTTCCCAGCAAACGAAGAGAGGAAACAATTTTATTTAAAGAACTACGAGAGAAAAGCCTCTTTGTCAACATCTAAGCCAAGTGCTTCACAGGAAACGACTAGAGAAGAGAGTTCTAGAGCTATCAGATACCCACCCATCAAATGCGCTTGCCCGTTCCCAGGGCTCTCTACGCTTATTTTCGATCTCTCGTCTTTAGCAGATTATTGCCAAGCACATGAGGACTCTGATATGCATAAGATGGTAGGAGAAAGTAGTGGCAAGCCTACTGCTCAACAGAAGACTTCAAAAAACCAGTCTCCTGTCCAGGAGACTGTAGATAACCCTGCAGAAATTTCACCCATGGACAAGGAAATTGGGGAATATCTAATTCGATTTAGTTTATCCTTTCTACATTTGTGGGGTATAGATTCTGAACTCGATCAAATGCTAACAGCACATCTAAAGCTAAAACGTCCAGAGAGTTTCATTGTCGCCTCTGGTTTGCAGGGGGACAAAGGGTCCTTGACATTAGCATTCCCGGGTTTGAATGCAACACTTGAGGTATTCTTCGTGACTTCTATTAATGTCACATACGCACATATTTCAGCTATATCCTACTTTTTCTAAGAATTCCTAGAACATTCCAGCTCTGGAAGTCATCCTCGGAGTTCTCTGCATTGAGGTCAGTGATGATGGTGTCGCTTGCTGAGTGCATGATTAGCCTGTCACACCCAACTGCCACAGCTAGCAGGTACTGCAACCAGTTCTCTTCTTGCAAAGATTTTTTACCTTCATGTTTCTCTCGCATGTCAAAATTATATTCCATTTTGTCTATTACAGCACCTTGGCAGCATTCTACACACGAGATCTGGCAAATAAATATCCCGATGTGAAGCCACCATTACTCCAGGTGAGTTTCTTCGGCTATTTTATCCATATCGTATGTGGTTGGAGATGACATTGTGCTTTATTTAAATAGCTGCGAAACAACTAAGATTTTCCTTTTCCCCTTGTTTTTATTGTAGCTTTTAGTGACCTTCTGGCAAGAAAGAAGCGAACAAGTCTGTATGGCTGCCCGGTCTATATTCCACCACACAGCTTCTTTTGCAATACCTCGTCCACTATGTAGTGATTTCGCATCAGAACATGCAAAACTGGTGAGATCCCTATCTGAAATCAATCTGCATGAACCTGAAGCTCTTAGCTCGGAAGAAGAACGTCCCACAAACAGTCTGGAATCTGAGCATGTCCATGAAGCTCAACGGCTTTCTCAGGCTGAGGAGTCGGAACTACTCTCCTGGCTTGAATCTTTTGAAATGCAAGACTGGATTTCTTGCGTTGGGGGAACAAGTCAGGACGCGATGGCGGCTCACATCATTGTCGCAGCTGCCTTATCAATATGGTATCCAAGCCTTGTAAAACCTGGTCTAGCCATGCTGGTCGTCCACAAGTTGTTGAACCTGGTTATGGCCATGAGTGAGAAATACAGCTCTACTGCAGCGGAGCTTCTCTCAGAAGGAATGGAAACTACTTGGAAGCTGTTGATCGGCTCTGACATTCCTCGGATTGTTTCAGACATATTTTTCCAGATAGAGTGTGTCAGTTCCTCAGTCAGAGCACAAGAAGCTGTACTATCATCGCCTATAAAGGAGACTCTGGTCGAGATTCTTCTCCCGAGTTTAGCCATGGCAGATGTCATTGGGTTTCTAAGCATAATAGAGAGCCAAATATGGTCCACAGCTTCGGACTCTCCTGTTCATGTAGTATCGCTCAGAACTCTCATCAGAATAATCCGTGCGTCTCCCAGAAATCTGGTGCTGCATCTTGAAAAGGTTTGTCGCATCGACTTTTACATTCAGTGATATGTGTCTGTAAAGAGATTTGAATAAACAATGAGGAAGATATTGCAGGTGGTTAATTTTGTTCTTCAAACGATGGACCCAGGCAATACCGTTATGCGTAAAACTTGCCTGCAAACCTCAATGGCTACGCTGAAAGAAGTCGTGCGTGTGTTTCCTATGGTAATCCTAAATGATTCGTCAACAAGGTTGGCAATTGGTGATGCTATCACGGAGATCAGTGGTGCCAGCATCCGTATATATGATATGCAAAGGTACTAAAAACTTTAAAAGGGTTTTGGTTTCTCGTCCCACCCACCACCTTTTATCTGGTTGTCCTTAGCTGTTTTGTGTGTGAATTCCCATTGCAGTATGACAAAAATAAGGGTTTTAGATGCGAGTGGACCTCCGGGTCTTCCAAATTTGCTTAGGGGATCTTCAGAATCTGCGGTAACAACAGCTATCTCAGCTCTCAGCTTTTCACATGATGGAGAGGTATTAGGTTATTCAAAGAAAATTGCAACTTTTTTTAGACTGTTGTAGAATGTTGAAGAGATCACTAAGAATAGAAATGTCTTTGAATGGTAGGGATTGGTTGCGTTTTCGGAAAACGGTTTGATGATCAGATGGTGGTCACTGGGATCGGTTTGGTGGGAGAAACTAAGTCGAAGCCTCACACCTGTTCAATGCACAAAACTGATATTCATGCATCCGTGGGATGGCTTTTCATCTAACTCTTCTCGGACAAGTGTGATCTCAAGTATCACAAGCCATGATGAAGAAACTCCTCTTCAGGTAATTTCATTTATTGTCAAAACTCAACAATCACTAGTAAACTGATATTTGTTCCTTGTCGGAACAGGAAACATCAAAGAACATAAGCCACGCAGAGCGGCTAAAGCAGCTTGTTCAACATCTTGATCTCTCTTATCGCCTCGTATGGGCCAATGAACGCAAAGTAGTTCTAACAAGACACAATGTTGAGTTGGGCACTTGCCTGTTGTAACTGCCAATGTAAGAGAATTCGGACAAATCTTATTATATCCATGCTTCTCATTTTTGCAGCTTTCCAAGAATAGCTCAAGCATATTGATTTCATGTTTTAGGTTTTCAGAAGGCTATCATGAGAACGTATTTTGTGTGTGAAACGAGATTGATTTGTTTCTGTGTATATGAAAACAAATATTGAAACATACCCGGAAAAGTTATTGAATGTTTTGCTTACAACAAATAACTTCTTTAATTTTTAAAAATGGTTAACCATACCAGTGGATAAGAGTTCACATGAACCATTGATGATGTGAAATTCCAAGCTAAGGTGTTGAAAAATATCTTACGTTTTTAAAATTCATGTGTTCAGCAAGTTCAGCCAATGTAAAGAAGAACCTCATTTTCTAATCAATTGCGCTAATTCATCAATTTTTGCATGGGCAGCAACGTGGCATTTTGGTTTGATATGTATGAGGAAAATGTTGAACGATATATTATTACGATATAAACGACTCTGAAGTTACCTATAATTTTTGGAAAACTCTTGATGTTTTTTTCTTTTGAGATATTGAATATTTCCTAGTTTGACGACATTTTAGGATTTGCTAATATTATTTTATTTTATAATCAAAACACATGCTAAATGTGATAAAAACATCTGTCAAATTTGGCGTGTTTGGTCTACTAGTGAATCATGCAACTGCATGTTCTCCTTTTTTTTTTTTTTTTTTTTTTTTTTTTTTTTTTTTTTTTTTTTTTTTTTTTTTTTTTTTGACAACGAACGGCTAATCTATTACTCAAGTTTGAGGTGGTCTGGGAATCCAGACCGGAATAGAACAACCTACAAACATCAATTCTCGATAAAAGGATCGAGCAGTCCTAGCTAATGAATCAGAAAAACCATTCTGAGCCCTAGGCACATGAACAATGCTAAACGCGGGAAAACAGATCTGCAGGGTAGCGATCTTTTCCTATTCCGTTGAGAACCTTGGCCAGTCCTGTGGTTTCCTAAGCATCGATATCACCTCCTTACAGTCCGTCCCAAAGCTCTGACATGGCGAATGTTGAAGTATGTTCTCCATTGCCCACCGCAGTGCTTCCAGCTCAGAATGCAAAGCAGACTCCACTCTAACAAAGTTACGCATTCTCATCAGCTGATCTTTCCCCATACTATCCTTCCATACCCAACCACACCCGCTATATTGAGCTGTGGAGGTCCATGAACCATCCACCAGGCAAATATCCCCCAGACTCATGATCTGGTTACCATCAGTCATGTCGATCTGAGAAGGTAAGGACGACTGTTCATTAGCTTGATACCAGGCAAGGCATTCACTCTCTGCGTATCGTGATGTCTCCAGTGGGTCTCTATCAATTCCTTTGAACAATTTGTCATTCCGAGCCTTCCAAATATACCAAATTAACCAAGGATAAGGATCCATGTCTACTGCCGGTCCACCTAAGGCATCCTTCCTCCAAAAGAGATAATCCATGTTCGCATATGTGCTCTGCAATGGAAATAAAGACGGGCTGGTGGGTAGAGACGACAAAGCCCAGACTTGCTTCGCAGGAGGGCACATGAAAATGGCATGTGAAATCGATTCCTCCGGTTCACCACAACGTGGACAATAGTTATCACAGCGCATATGGTGATAGTTTAAGATGCTCGTAACAGCCAACTGACTTGCTATTATCTGCCACATAAGATGACACATTTTTTGTGGAGCTCGCACCTTCCAAACTTGCGCTTGTAATTTATTAATACTAGGTTCACTAACTACAGGCCTTTCCTCTCTCTTTAAAATATTCCGTGCCACCCAATATCCAGACTTGACTGTATATTGTCCATTCCTAGTGTAGTTCCAGCAGAAAGTATCTCGCCGATGTGTCGAACTAACGGACATGCTCCTTATGAGAGGTATGTCAACCGCACTGACGTATTGGTTCAGTCTTGTCATGTCCCAGGTCTTTGTCTCTTGATTAATAAGATCACTGACTCTCATATTTGGGTGCAAAACCGGTGCAGATGGGATCGCCGGTCGCGCAGGTATGGTAGGAATCCAATGATCCTCCCATACTTTCACCTCATACCCCGAATGGATCTACTGTCTGACACCCAATAGCAATAGTTCTCGTGACGCCGAAATACTAGTCCACACATATGATGGGTTACTAGTCGGAAGCTTGCACAAAGGCGAACCTGATCGGTAGTATCTCCCCCTCATTACACGAGCAACCAAAGAATCCGGGTATTGACTCAGCCTCCATAATTGTTTTGCCAACAATGCCAAGTTAAATTCATAAATCAACCTGAAACCAATCCCACCTTCCTCCTTTGGTAAGCATACTTTATCCCAAGTGGACCAATGGATGCCTCTTTTTGGGGGACTAGAGCTCCACCAGAACTGCGCAATGACACTAGCTAAGCCATCACATATCTCCATGGGCAAAAGAAAACAGGACATAACATAGGTCGGCAGAGCTAATAGGATCGATTTGATCATAACCTCCTTTCCACCTTTTGATAGTCACCTTCCTGTCCATCAATTAACCCTGTGTCTTAACTTATCCTTCAGAAATGCAAAAAGCTTACATTTGGACCCACTTATATCCTACAGGATCCCTAGATAAGTGCCCATTCCTCCTTCATTCTGAATGCCAAGTGTATCTTTGATTTCTTGTCTGACCTCCTGTCCAATCCTTTTACCGAAGAGTAAAGAAGATTTGTCAAAATTAATGCATTGACCAGAGGCTTGTCCATATTTCGTGACCACTTTCATTACTTCTTCACATTCATGGGGCTCCGCCTTACAGAAAAACAGACTATCATCAGCAAAGAGAAGGTGGGATACCGACGGACACGCACGCGTGATACGCATCCCCGTTATCTTTCCTTGATTCTCTGCGTGATTTAGAAGGCTAACGAGCGCTTCCGTGCACAGAATAAAAATGAAAGGGGACAGAGGATCCCCCCGTCGTAGACCTCTCTCTGGGACAATGTTCCCTCTTGGTTGACCATTCATCAGTACCTTATACCGAACATAAGTTATACAGCGCATAATCCAAGTTATCCAAACTTCTGCAAACCCCATCTTCCTCATGGTAGCCTCAATGAAGGACCATTCCATTCTATCATATGCCTTACTCATGTTTGTTTTAATCGCCATTCTCTTATTCCTTCCACTGGGTTTGGTCCTTAGGGCATGAAACAACTCTTGGGCAATCATAATGTTATCAGAAATCTGCCTTCCCGCAACAAAGGCTGACTGGGTTTTGATATTCTCTCTGGAAGAACCTTTTTTAACCTCTGGCATAAGACCTTAGAGATTATCTTATAGCTAACATTGCACAAGCTGATTGGGCGAAGCTGACTCATCTGATCCGGCCTATCAACTTTTCGGATAAGACATATGTTTGTTTCATTTAAGCCATTGGGTATCTCTCCTTCAAACAAGAATTTATTAACCATACGAGTTAAATCCTCCTTGAAAATATCCCAAAATTTTTGGTAGAAAAGCGCAGTCATTCCATCCGGACCCGGGGCTTTCTCTGGATGCATGGCAATCAGAGCTAACTTAATCTCCCATTTAGTTACTGACGCTGTAAGACCTTCATTATCCATAGGTGTGATGGTAGTAGAGACTTCCGATAGTGCTTCGTCTATGTCCTCCGGATTTGAGGACTGGAAAATGTGTCTAAAATAATTGGTAGCAATGGCTACTAATCCTTCCTCATCCTGAACCACATTTCCGTTTTCATCCAGAAGTTGCGTAATCCTGTTCCTTGCTCTTCTCTGCTTCGTAAGGGCGTGAAAAAATTTTGTATTTCTATCTCCTTCGCCTAACCAAAAGACTCTACACTTCTGTTTCCAAAACAACTCCTCTGCCTTAAGGGCATCAGATAATTCTTTTAAAGCCGCTGCAATCTCCTCAGTAGTGGCATCGTCATTTGAAGATAACTGGTCTACTTTCTCTTTTAACTCCTCCACACTTCTCTCAGAATTGAGATTATGCTGTCTCTTCCACTCACTCAGAGCCCGTCTACAGCTTGCTATATGTTCCATTATGCTGGCTTCCGGTGGCAGATCCGGTGATTTCCAACCTTCCAAGATCACTTGTCTAAGCTCCTCATTGTCCAACCACCGCTTATCAAACTTAAAATTTTTTGATCTCCGCGGTCTCTTTTTAAGAATATCAGCTAGGATCGGACGATGATCCGATCCCCACATCCTCATATACTGTGTCTTTGTATGAGGAAATTTATCATGCCAATCCTCATTACCAACAGCTCTGTCTAGACGGCATCTAACTGTGACCCTCCCTGCCCTTTTCCCAGCCCATGACAACATGTTTCCTGTGAACGGAAATTCCAGCATTCCACAATCACTTAACATTTGTCTAAAAGGCAAGAAAGAGCTGTCTGAGCGTTCACGACCCCCCCCCCCTCTTTCTCTTCAGGGCATGTAATCTCATTAAAGTCACCAATCATAAACCAAGGTCCATTTCTTGTTGTTGAGAAACGCGTAAGACGTTCCCATACTAAATCTCTTCTTTCTAAAACAGGGTCCCCATAAACAAATGTCATGTAGACTTTTATTCCATCAATGATTGCCTCAGTATCAATCATTCTGTTATTTGAAAATAAAACATTAACTTGAAATTCATCCATAAAAAATAACGCTAAACCTCCGCTGAGTCCAAGTGGCTCAACAGTAAATAAACGATCAAATCCTAAGTCGGCCTAAATGTCCTGCAACAGCAGCCTCCTATTCTTCGTCTCAGAAAGAAACACAAGTCCTGGGCGATGTTTCTCACACATCTCCGTAAGGCGTCGAACTGTGAGGTCGCTTCCAATCCCTCGACAGTTCCAACTGAGTGTCCTCATGGATAATGCTTGGATGGGTTTTTGGATCCCATCAAACCATCACCATTGTTTAGTCTCCCTTGAGTATTTTTAGCACCATGTCGCAAATGCCCAGCCTTCTGTCGTGATGCCTTATGTGTCGAGGTCTTAGCCACTCTCAATCTAGAGGACCCTCGACGGAGGAATCCCGGCTTCGTTCCCAGACTACTTGATGAAGTAGCCGAGCGACCTGACTGTCTCTTACTTCCCGTTTTCATCTTTGCGCCAGCTTCTGCACCTTTACTCTCCTCGGCACTCAACTCCATAAATTCTTCGCCCAAGAGATCATCCTCAGCATCATCATAAACCTCTTGATCCAGCATCGTTACATCCTGTGTTTCATCTGTTTGCATATCAGCCAGAGCGCCTATGACTTGTTCCTCCTCGTCAACATCCTCGTCATTCGCAAAGGACAAAGATCGAGTTACACTCCTACTATGGATGGTTACATTATCTTTCATGAATGCTCTTCGTAATGGCGGAGAAACAATGACACTAGCCAATTTTTTTGTTAGAAGACCTGAGTCCCCCAAAGTATCTCTGTCTCCACTCTGAACCTCAACATCATCTTGGCGCCCTACTAAAGACATAGGCGGCACTTCAGACTGAACTATAGTGGCAGCTTTATCAAGGAACTCAGCTTGTCTCTCCATTCTCATTTCCTTAGTCGCTGGCTTCTCACGCCAAACTCTGTTTGACCTTCGCTCATATGGAGCAATAGCCCGTCGGGAGCCATGATGTCGGTCATCATATTGCTTCTCACTCCGTCCCCTTATAACCCGATCGAAGGTTCTGGTGTAACCGCGTTCATCCAAGCGTGCGTGTGCAGAGTCCGTAGCTTTACTTCTTCCAGCGTACCCATTATTTTGATCTCGCGCAAATGAGCGAGATGAATATTGCACAGCTGAGTGATCACGTTCCTTGCGTACATTGTGATGATCAAAACCTTGATCCCTACTCAGCGAGGACTGAGCTCGGGGCAAAGGGTGTGCTCCATACCGTTCTGTGCGATCCTTACGGGATTCATACTGATTTCCTCCATTCAGTAATGGCTGCTCATGAGCAGGAGGTAGTTGAACTCTCGCAAAAACACCACTTCGTTCATGTTCAACCCTCGGTGCTAAAGTGTTTGTCGGACAATAACCCTTCTCATGTGTCATTAAACCACAGGTGGTGCAGTGTTTAAAGAGTAAGTCGTACTCAGTAGTAATGGTTACTTCCTTATCTTCCGGACTAAGAACCTTCCTCTTAAACTTAAGAAGTTTCCTAGAGTCAACATGAATAAGCATTCGCCCCTCTGTGAGCTCAATCGTATCCACTTCTCCAAGTCTCCCTCCAATCTCTCTAAGATTAATGTCTGTCCATAGGTGTAGGGGCATCCCAACCAATCGGACCCAGAAGGGGATAATCCAGGGATAATCATCATGAACTATTGGTTCCCATCGCACCAAAACAAACATGCAGAAATTGTAGTGGAAAGGACCCTTCGAAAGAACGAAGTTAAGATCCTCTTCATTGGCAAAGTTCAAAAGAAACTTTCCATTTCCGAGATTGTTTGCCGTAATCTTCTCTTCCATTCCCCATTGAGCCGGCATTGTCTGGATTAATTTCTCGACAGTTTGCTTTCTTGGATTCAGGATCTTTCCAATAAGAGACATCCGGTATTCTTTGATTACGAAAGCATTATCCTGTTCAGTCAATCTGATTGGTGCATCATCATCCTCATCATCTATCGCAACACCCTTGCCTTTACGATCAACTCCATATCTCTAGATTGAGCGACCCAAAGATGCCATGTGAAACCGCCGGTGAGACACCAGTGAGATACCAGTATGTATCGTCGATGCGGACAAAGATCCAAGGTCGTAGCTAATCGGTCGTAGGTCAAATACGGTAACCTCTCTTAGTGTACTCCAGACAAAGATCAGGAATATTTATGAGTAGATCACGTATTACGGAAAACGTAAAACTCGAGAAAGATCGAAATCAACCAGAGTAGAAATCACAACGTTAACTCCCGTCGCTCTGTTCACGGCGTTATGATCGTATACACCAGGTACCAGCGATGATCTCCGGAGTGACCGTGGCTGTGATGGTCGACAAAGATCGAGATCACAAGAACGATGTTTACGGTAGGTACCGGGAGAAAAACACAGTCCTATCGTCGATCACCACCTGTGTGCAGAAGAAACGCCAACTAAACCCTACGCCGATGGACGTACTGGTTAGGAGATGATCGAATCTTCAAGAGCAGACTCAATCCAGAAGATCGCTATTACTGTCGCCAGGAGATCGCCTTAGGGTTTCCGCCGCTTATGAAAAAAATATTTGGTTAGTTTATCCATGTTCTCCTTTTAAAAGAAGTTTTCTACTGAAAATTATCTCTCTACGCAGTCAATTGAATATTTTCGTACGTTGGTCAGATATCAGAATGACAAAAAAATAAAAATTATTAATGTTAGAAATTCATAGTTAATTTTAATTATCCACAAAATAATAATAATAAATTCTCACCCAATGAATTTCCATGACAACTCAAACAGTTTGCCTATAAACTATTATCCCCAAAACAGATGTTTTCCTCATATAAGCAAAATGAAGAAAACTCAACTGATTATTAATTGCAATGGTAAAATGCAATGTGCATGCGTACTGTCTTTATTTTGAATTGTCAAAAACACTCTTGTAGTTTTAATCATAAGCAATTATTGCGATGTACAATACAAAAAGATGTATAACACAAATATAATTATTGAAAGCTTAAAAACGTTGTTAGATTATATGGAGATTTTCCTAGCTAACAAGGAATGTTTATTTTCTTTTACCAAAAAAAAAGGAATGTTTATTTTATGAACAATGTCCAATGATATTTAATCTTTAATGGCAATGGTAACTCCAGATAAATGTTGAACTCTATTTAAATAAATATTATTTTATTTTTAATTCATGTTTTCAACGCAACGGATTTGATACTATCGCACATAGTTTCTCTATATATCAGTGCCGATTCTGAACATGTGCTCAATGCACTATAACCTTCATTTTTTGACAAGCTCTTTTTGTTGGAATAGTATAACTCAAGTTTGGACTTTGGAGAACATGTGCCCAATGCACTAGGACCTTCACTTTTTGACAATTCAAATCTACAATAGTATAACTCCAGTTTGGAGAAAACTTTTTAATCTCGCAAGACCCATGAATTTTATTTGAACCGGGCATGTTATATATTAAAATGACTAAGTTAGTTTCTCATTATTCATAATATAAGTTTTGGATTCTCATGTGTAGACCAAGTATAGCTGACATAAGAAAGAAATATCATAAGTCTAATTATTAATATTGGATTTTCATAATTAAATTCCAAAATGAGCTATTATAATTGTACATTATCTTACCCAAGTAACCATGAAAACTAACCCTTACTAACTAACAATTGGTTTACATCAAAGTTCTTAAGAAAATAATCCACAGCCAATGTTTATATAAGGATCATAACTTTAAAGTAAAAAAAGTATATACATAGGACACTGTAAACACACAAAAAAGTTACTTGATCTTGATCATACGAAATTCATATCTCCTAAAGTTTTGACCACTTTACTTTACCGTCAAAGTTTGATATGTAAGAGCATGTACAACGCAGGCTGTTAATGCAATACTTAGGAGTAATCCTTAGGTTTTGGGGAATAAAAAAGCATTAAACAAATGGTATGCTAAGGAGTAATCCTTAATGAAAGATTTTAAGGATCAAGTCCTTAATGAGCTGGCATCTCTGTTTCTCTCTCTCAATCTCTCCCTCTCGAGCAAATCTCCGGCAGAGCTAGACGCCCTTCAACATTTCCCGCCATTCATGTCCACATACAGATTAATGGGTTGGAGAAAAACGAGTTCCTTGGGACGAAGCTTGTTCATACGTATAATGTTTGTGGTTCGATTGAAGATGCACAGAAGGTGTTCGACGAAAGTTCTAGCTCGAATGTTTATTCTTGGAACGCGTAGCTCGAGTTCCTTGGGACGTCTCCTTATTTGAATCGGTTCTTAAAAGATTATGATTCACTAAAACTCTTCCTTTTTTTTGATGTTCGAAGATCATCTATGTTTTTAAAATTGGCACTTGTAGCTCTCCACGTCGTCTTCATTGGCTTTCTACTCGCTTGCGATGGTGAATTCATCGAGAAAACTAAGCTACATCCATGGTACTTGCTGTTTGGCTAATTCAGTCACCTCTTTATCTTCTAAAGATCTAAACTTTGTTTGATTCTCTGTTAACAGTTACATGTTCTCTTACTTGTTCTTGTTCACTGTTACACTTCTTCAGTATTTTGTCACTTCTGGCTCTTCACCTGTGTATAAACTAAACTATATATATATGCATTCATGTGTTTCGAAACAGTCCCTGTGGTAGCAAAGCTTCATTCTTTCTTGTCTTTTTGGGTACGTTATTGATGCAATGAGGGATGATGATGAGACAAATGCAATGTATAGAAACGCACCTACAACAACAGCATTGTAAGAGTTGTTACTATCCTTGTTTAACAAACTCTTTATTGGAATTTTTATGGAACAATGGGATCGACTTCTATTTAAACTTGTGTCTGTCACACTCTTGTGTTTATACTTTTTTGTTATTTCGTTATTTAAGTGAAGGCAACAACATGCTTCCAGACAAAATGGGAGCTTTGTATTCTACAAGATTCAAGATTGGGTCATAGTTTGATAACACTTGTTACTTTACTTATGTTATCTTGAATTTGATTTGATTTGATTTGCTGTAAATGTTTAAGAAGCAATCTGATGTTTGCTCCATAGAATTATTCTCACCTTCCCTGAGTAATAAAAGTTGACACAACTGAAGTTGAAACTTGAAATGCCATTTCCACTACTTATATGCTGCTCCAAAGTTATGTCGGAGCTAAACAACTTCCTCATTGCTACTTATATGGTTTCACAGATGCTGATGGTGGTGATCTATGGTGGTGATGATGGACTCTTGGAGCTTAAATCTCGTTTCCCTAACATGACTTTGAGGTAGTAAAGTTTAAGTCTTTAGCGTGATTACATCTGAATCAACATGTATGCTTCTTTCTTTCTTACCAAAGAAACTAGTTACCATAATGTCTTATGGATATAGTTGAACAAGTCAATGACTCTTAGTGTATGCTTCTTTCTTTCAGGTTGAGAAGCAGAGACGAATGCCGATTGCACCATAACGCAATGGCTGATCCAAACTGGAAATGCTCAGACTTTCCATACAACAAGTAGGTTCTTTGTTCATTGTGCATTAAGATTGATAATGTGTAGTGACTTTTGTAAGAAATGTTTTACAAATTATATAATTTTTAGTTTCTAAAATTCAGTTCAAAAAAAAAATTCTAAGAATTCCATAACGATAATACCATTGGACTTACATTTATGATAAAAATCCTTAACTATTCAAAAAATAATAATATTTTAGTGTTAAGGACTCCAATGGTGGGTAACACCATTGGAGTTGCTCTAAGGGATTATTGATATCTACGTAGGTTTTTATTTATCTACTTAAAGCATATTTATTGCAATTTTTTTAGATTGAATCTTTTAGCGTAATATA